ATGAAATGGCTGACTTTGCTTCTGAACATTTCTTGATAGAACCCACACTCTCTGCTCAAAGGAAGCAACCTGATGGAGCTGAAGCAACAAAGCAAACAACGGCTGACAGTGCAATTCTTGACTCTCTATTTGAACATTTCTATGAGAATGCACGCACTGCCAACCCACAATTACCAACAGAAGCTGCTCAACCACCATTCATGGCTGACCTCACTGAAACAGAAGCTGACTCACTTCCTACATCTGATCAAGAGGATACGGAGGATCATGGCACGGCAGCAACACAAGCAACTTCACCAGCACAAGTTTCAGAAATACCAGCTCAAGCAGACACAGAACCTGAATCGACCCCTGTGCACTCCACTCCTCAACAAACCACATCTACTACTTTTGAGGACCCGGATCACCCCATCATAACTCCAATCCCTCTAACTCATGAGCGGAAATGGACGAAGGCACATCCTGCAGAACAAATTATTGGAGATCCGAGTCGTGGAGTTTGCACAAGAACGGCTACAGCAAATGAATGTCTCTTCTCCTGCTTCATCAGCCAATTTGAGCCAACCAAAGTTTCTGAAGCACTGGCAGATCCTGACTGGGTAATCGCAATGCAGGAGGAGATCAATCAGTTTGAAAGATTAGATGTATGGACCCTGGTGCCAAGACCCCCAAAGAAAACAATAATTGGCACCAAGTGGGTTTTCAAGAACAAGAAGGATGAAGACGGTGTAATTATAAGGAACAAAGCCCGACTGGTTGCAAAAGGGTACAACCAACAAGAAGGAATTGACTATGATGAAACCTTTGCACCAGTGGCCAGAATTGAAGCAATCAGGTTGTTCCTTGCTTATGCTGCTCATAAGAGTTTCACCGTCTATCAAATGGATATAAAGACTGCGTTTTTGAATGGAGAACTGAAAGAAGAAGTTTACGTGGCACAACCAGAAGGCTTTGTTGATCCTGAACGTCCACATTATGTCTACAAGCTGAAGAAAGCTCTGTATGGACTAAAACAGGCACCGAGAGCCTGGTATGATGCACTATCTGATTTTCTTGTGCAATCAGGCTACTCGAAGGGAAAGATAGATCCAACTCTTTTCATCAAGCGAGAGAACAGTGACATCATGCTGATACAAATCTATGTCAATGACATCATATTCGCCTCGTCCAATCCGAACTTCTGCGAAGAATTCAGCAACTTGATGCGCACTGAGTTTGAAATGAGTATGATGGGAGAGTTGAACTTCTTTCTAGGGCTACAGATCAAGCAATTGCCAGACGGAATTTTCATCAGCCAGTCGAAGTACATCCATGAAATGCTCAAAAGATTCAAGATGGACAGCAAGTCAACCATGAAAACCCCCATGTCTCCCTCACAAAAGCTCGACTCTGACCCTTCCGGGATATCAGTCGATGCTACCAACTATCGGGCGATCATCGGTTCCTTGTTGTACCTGACATCTAGTAGACCGGATATTGTCTTTGCAACGTGTCTGTGCGCTCGCTTTCAAGCAAATCCAAAGGAATCACATCTGAATGCAGTAAAGAGAATCCTGAGATACCTGAAAGGAACAGTCAACTTAGGACTTTGGTATCCCAAGGACACGGGTTTTGACCTTGTTGGTTACTCAGATGCTGATTTCGCAGGTTGCAAGTTAGACAGAAAGAGTACATCCGGTGGTGCTCAATTTCTGGGAGAGAAGCTAGTCTGTTGGTCCTCCAAGAAGCAGAACTGCGTGTCAACTTCTACAGCCGAAGCAGAATACGTTGCGGCTGCTAGTTGCTGTTCACAAATCCTATGGATGAGGACACAACTCAGAGACTATGGCTTCCTATTCAACCATATTCCCATCTACAGTGACTCCCAGAGTGCAATTGCCATAACCAGCAACCCCGTTCATCACTCGCGCACCAAGCACATCGACCTGCGCTATCACTTCATCAAGGACCATGTGGAGAAGGGAGATGTTGATTTATACTTTGTTAACACCGAGCTTCAACTGGCTGACATATTTACTAAGGCACTGGATGAAAAGAGATTCCAGTTCCTAGTATCTAAGTTAGGCATGTTGAATCTCGATCCTATGTAATTGTGTTATCTTCATGGTCTGAATAAAATGTGTGTGTGTGTGGTGTGCGTAGCATGTGTTGAGGGGGAGAAAAGGGAGAAAATAAAACAAGAAGAAGTTTGTTCATACTTTAAGGGGGAGAAAATCTGAAAACAAAAGAAAGTCAGAAAAAGAGTGTGTGTGTGAAAAAATCAGAAAATATGAAGAAAAAGAGTGAGTGTACATTTTTTTCTCTCTCATGCACAATTTGAGGGGGAGTTTTTTTTTGTACAGAAATAAACCTTCGGGGCCCAAAAATAATTTTTAAAACTGAACATGGCCCAGCTCTTCTGGACAGAGCTCATAGATCAGGTGAAAATAAAGGAGAACAACAAGGGTAGCACAATCCCTTACGCTAGGTGGCTGGCACTGATGATCCACAACATGATGGAGGCCACCCATACTATTCCAAAGCGTAAGGGAGATGATCACTTCACCGCCCCAAAACTCAAGTACTTTCAGAGACACAGCAATAAAGCTGAAGCACTGCCAATTCCGGATTCCCTGCTCAATCTAGCAAACCCGAGGGATAAGGCAGTCGTCGACTACAAAGAGTCGCTGAAGAGAACGGTCCCTATGGTTCAGCAAAACCCAGTTGGACCTTCCCAGGGGACCAAGCCTAGTGAGGGTGGTAAGAAGAAGAGAGCCCCGCCACAGAAACCAGTGGCAACTCGGCCTAATGATGATCAGTCTGCTAACTCTTTCGAGAGGACCCAGACTGCTGAGGGCCACCCTATCAATGCTGAGGACACTGCCGATGAACCATCAAACCAGGCCCCTTCTAATAAGGCAGGTGGTGAGGCCTCCGATAGCATGGCCAAGGGAAATGAGTGAGATGATGATGATGATGATGCAGACGATAATGATGATGATGATATGGAGGGAGTCCTGATCAGCAACAGGAAAAGAGCCGGAAAGAAGGCCATCCGAATCGACTCCGACTCCTCATCAGAAGATATGGAGGCTGCACTCACACCCCGACCACTCAAGGGGATCATCATTAGTGAGCAGCGCTCTAAGCAAAAAAGTGATAAGTTTGCATCATCCAAGCCTAAGAAGAGGCTAAGAAAGAAGAGTGCACTAGAGGAGGAGCTGGCACTATACGATGACTGTGACACCTTCGTCACCATAGACCGAACCACGCCCCTAGGAGCAGGAGCTGACCTTGTCAGTTCCCGGGTAGAAGTCGCAGCATCCGGTTCAACTGCGCATGCACAGCCATCTCCCATCCACTCTCCAGTCTCCCAACAGACTGGAGTTTCAATGACACAAGGGGAACTTACACCGACCTCACTGATTCCCTCCGAATCTGCTGAGAGACTTAGTGGTCAACAGCCCCGGACCACTACCCCCATCCGTTCTATCACATCGAGTCTAGGTGTCACCATTCCTACATTTTCACATTTCTCTAGGACACCTACACTATTCACTGTACATACAGGTGCACTCACCCTGAATGCAACGACCGGAGTGCAAACTATGATGGTCGGAAGCCCTGCTACGCCAACAATGCCTCGATCATTGAATGCAGGCCACACATCAGCTATCTTCACTGATGCTGTGACAACAGTTACAACCCCTGTAACTGGTACCACCATTCCCGAAGACATTCTCGTATATCTGAATAGCTTTCTAGAGTCTACCATTAAACCATGGGTGCATGAAGCAATAACCGCTAATGCACAAGACTCTGGAAGTACCCCAGTTGTTCAGGATATACCACCCAAACCCCAAACAACACAGCCCCCAACCATTTCCATTCCTATTTTCAAACCCTTAGCCATAGAAAACCAACAACCATCCACATCAAGGGGAACCCAGGATACAGAACTAGTATTCTCCCCTACAACGACCAAACCCGACCTAAAAACCGTACCCTTCGAGGATCTTGTAGATGAGATCTACGACCGTATACTAGACGTGGAAGAAGGCAACCTCACCCCTCTTCAAAAAGCCCTTCTCCATGCTCTAGATACACAGAACACATGCCGTGACAGTCTCCGTGGCGCTAAACGTTCACATGAGGATCCCGATGATTCAAATTCTCATGAGGGGGAGAACAAGCGCCAGCGGATACTTGAGCATGTTGCTTCTACTAGCCAACCCTCAAAACCAAACCAACCCTCTACCTCTACCAATGAACAACCCCCTACTTCAGCCAGCCAAAAATCCCTAGCCTCTCTCTCTAGCATGGTCGAGCTAGACAAAACATTCCGAGGCGCATCTCCTATAGATGTTGACCAAGGATGGAATGGAAGTCCTGATGATGCTACCACGAGTACATCTTCCTACTCAGGCCATCAGCTAGAACCTAGTTCGAACCTGATGTCATCGGGCAATCCTGAGGATCCCGGATTCACCCAGTCTCAGCCAAGGAAGGATTGGCCGCATGTAACGAAGTATAGAGGTCTGGTCTCTGCGCAAGAGCATCGTGTTGAGATAATTGAGGATCCCTGCAAGTCTCACGTGGATCCCGATGCTACGCCCGACATGTCGCCACGGCAGCAGCAGGCTCCCTCCAGCTACTACAATGATCAAATGCACGATGAACTTGAGGAAATGCTGGTGCACAACAAATGGTCTGAACTCTGGACAGATGTAGATGAATCACAGCGAAGAGCATACCTCAGAGATCTTTTAGTCAACTGTGCTACTGATGTGATTTTACTTGATCAAGATGAACTCAAGGAGGGAGAGAACTACGAGACACCACCCAAGGAGCTTGAGTCGATCATTAGACAAACGGCGGCTCAAATGCCCAGAAATGAGAAGCCCTGGGAAAAGATCGACATCAACGCCCCCTTTCAAGAGGAAATCAGAGAAAACATCTGGCGAAAAGAGGATAAGGTCAGAGAACTGGACGAACTGAAGATCTGTGGTCTCAACCATCTACGAGGACAAAACAAGGGCGGACAACTGTTTCTACTTAGTCATCACTACATGGGAAAACAGAGAGAAGTCTGGCAACACAAACTTCAAACTGCCAAGGAACCAGTCTGGGCTGTTCTCAATGTGGCCGAAACCAACTTTCAAGATATCAAACTCTCTGTCTACCATCTACAGCGCTCTGACGGAACTGAATTCACGTGCAAGGAAAATGATCTCTACATGCTAAAGATGGATGACATCTATCAGATGTATCTTGCATTCCAGGAAATTCCAGGCATTCGTGACAAAACTGCACAAAACGGGCTGGATGCACTCAAGCGCTTTATGATCAGACAAATCAAATTCTTTGCCTCTCATGATCTTCAGATGGCTCTTGAAACAAACATGCCAAAGACAAATCTCACAAGACCGAAGCTCTATCGACAAGAATTGGAGGACTTTCCTGAGTATTACATCTTTGATAGTCCAATCACGCTTATCTATCTGAATCACAATGGTGAGAAACGCATGTTATTCATTGATGAAATTAACAAGTACTGTGACAGAACCCTGAAGATTGTGAAAGAAAAGCTGCAACCTATCAGAGAAGCATTTAAAGAAAGACAGCAAAAGTATGCAGATGCCACAAATGCTGAATTAAAAGAGGCACACAGAATTGACAACATTTTACAAGCCATCGAAAGGCAACTGGATAGAAGAAATTCACTCACGAGCTATGAGCATGCACTTAATCTCAGAAAGAATTATTACAAAGCTCAGAAGTGAAGAAACCCAGCAAGACGGCACTTGACCACAAAGGGGGAGATTGTTAGAACTTTTATTGTGGGTCAAGTTTGTCTGTAATGTCTTGTTTAATAAAGTAGACTAGTTATACCATTTATGGTATTAGATTAGTAATCATTATGTAATAAATAGGTTAAATGGAATAAGGCCCAAAAAGGCCTTGGCCCAACTTCCAAGGTTTACCTAAATCGGTAACCTGTACAGCGCCTATAAATATGCGCCTTGTGTACAGGTGCCGATATCGATCAATACACTTTAGCCTTACGCTGCCAAAATACTTCTCGATATAATAGAAAGGCGATTTCCAAGTTCTCGACATTGCATAAATCATTCTGGGTAATCGTTCTTCTCTGTTTGTCGATGATATCCATCTAGCTGTGCGTTAGTTTGCATAAACTGGGACCAACAATGTTGTTTGGCCTATGATAGGCGTGGTAGCCCATACCTTCTGCTCGAGATGCTCTAAGCCCGGGGGACTTATTTATTTGATGTTCGACATGCCGCTCGGCATTCTCCTGAACAAGCTTGTTGGTCCTCCGACCCCTTCCCCGAGATGTTTGACCACGCGTCCACTGCTGATTGGCCGTTGGAACGACAATGCGTGTATATATATATATATGAAAACTGAATTCCTTTCCTTTTATCCGCTTCCATGTTAAGCAAAGAAACCCTACAGATTTTCCCTCTCTAAGTCCTCGCTCTTGGGTATTCCTTCACCCCTTTGGCAAGTCTTTGATTTAGGATATTCTGTCATGTCTCATTCAGGCTCATCCACTTCTTCAGAGAAGGAGGAGATCGTCCTGATTCGTCGGAGTATCGGAAAGGGTGATCTGTCACATCGTATGATAACATCCTCCATTATGGACACGAATTCACCGTCTGATTCACCCCCCCGGCTGAAGGACAACAGTTTCCTGATGGCAGATGTTGTTCGAGGGATGTTTACTCAATCTATCAGCGCGGGATTCCCGAGCGCCCCCGTGTGTGGCCCTTAATTTCATTGTCGTGCGACGTCAGAAACAAAATTTGTCCGCGGAAGCAGTATGTCAGGTCGAGCAGCTACTTCCACCCCTCGACAATTCATTATGAGCTTCATCCGACACCTGATGAGGCACCGAGTGGGACATGTTCTTGTCCATTTGGATTCTGTCATAGCCGGATTGTGCTTTCCCCTGCATCCGCTTATAATAGAGTTTCTCCGCCAGCTTTTGGTGCTCCTGACCCAGTTTGTGCCAGGGATCGTTTGATAAAGTTCCATCTATTCCAAATATAGCTAGAATTGGTCTTCCAAAGCTTATCCAACGACTTAGATGATATTTCCTTTATTACACTTGAAATATGTGACAATGTATAATACCTAATAATTCATACCTTAACAATTTGCCCCTTTCGAGAAGTTGAGACGTATGAGTGCACATGTCAATCCATCTATCATCAACTTTTCAAAACTTTTGAAAGAGCATGTACTTCACATCCTTTGTTATTGCGTCTATCGATTTGTCATCCGTCTGATGAAACGCTTCTGTGCATCCGTCACTCGCCTGATGAAACGCTTCCGTCCATTTTCTTGCAATTAGCTTCCGATCAAATCTGTCTCTTTGATTGAAGTGATTAAGAACGAAGCAGAGATCATATCTTCTTTCCTCTAAGGTTGTGCTAATGACTAGACACTGGTGAAATAGAACTTCATGCATGCTGATGTTGATACTTTAGTTGGCAAGGGCGACTTCATCCCTCATTTGACAAATCACATTTGGCTCCATGATTGTGACTGCATGATATCCATCAAAAACTTTGAACACTATTTTGTTTGTGCGTTTAGTTATATTGTCAACCTAAACATGAATGTTTGGGGTTCATGTCGATGTCATTCATGTAACCTTCTTCTATTTTGGAGTTTCTTGTTGTTTCATGTTATGCTTTTGAAACACGTGTTTCTGTGATGTAATTTTTGTATAGTTTGGCCAAAACATTGCATAGAATCAATGGTGTTTCCATTTGTGTTTAGAAGACATGAAAAAACCAATTTTCCCCTTATAATTATGTAAGCCCCATCATTACGTTTTGACGTTTCTGTATAGGTTTATTCGACGTGTGTCAGGACACTGCCATCGTCAATTGTTGACTGTTCTTGTGCAAAAAGAATTTGCTAAGCTTGGATATTGGTTAAAAGCCAATGGCCCTCTGATGATTAAGTTAATGGTTATTTATATGTAAAGGAAAGTAGTAAATTAAACAATTAAACATGAAATAACTTGAAGTGTACCACATTGCATCTTCTCAAAACATGTCTGCCGTCTTGAGCTTCTGAGCAACATGTCACATGTCCGACGATTTCAATGATCTTGTCTGGCCTTTCTCATCATGAATGTGATTACTTGTTCATCGGGTTCTACCTTCTGGGAGAACTTCTGATATCGTCATGAAGAGGGGATTACGATGACTTCATGATATCGTCGATTCTGAGTGGGGAATGGAAGAACATGAGGTTCTGATCAAATCTTCTATTATGATCAAATCTTGTAGTCCTGCCTCTTGTGAGAGTCCGACTTCCTATGCCCCCAGCATACTTAAACTGCCTACGTCATGATCGTAAGTCTTCCTCTAGACGGATGAAAGCTAACATCTTTGGTTGGACATCTTTGAAGGAATGACTAGGGTATATTGTTAACTCCCGATAGAGCTCAAAATCTTCGAATAGGCCTCTCCCAAATGACTCAATAGTTGTGGGGATATCACATGTAGGAATTGACACCTTTCCTTTGTTGAACCTATGCAAGTAGTCTCTAAGAGGCTCACCTCCTCACTATGTAACTCTATAAAGGTCGCCAGTTTGCCTCTCCAACACCCTGTTACTTGCGAATGGCTGATTGAAAAGATTGACGAGTTCAGCAAATGAACGGATGCCCTCGTTCAAATGATTCACAAACCATGTCTGGGGAGGACTAGTCAACGACATGTCGAATGCCTGGAACATACATGCCTCTCCTTGTGTTCAGGTCTGACAGAGACGGTTAACATCCTTTGTTTGTATTGCACGATATGTTCTCCAGGTTTGAGGTTTTGTCAAATAGTTCCATGCTTGGTATGTCAAATTTCTTCGGCATCTCAACATGGGTGATTGAACCGTCAAATGACGACTCGTCATAACACGTTTGAGATGTTATGTCAAGTGGAGGAGGGACTCCCAAGATCCACATTATCTTCTCTTGAATCTGGCGTAGCTGAGCAAAGACAATTGTCGTGGGATCTGTCATGACGGTTTTCAGGTGACATGTAGTGGTAGTCATGAGACTGTAGGTACTGTGTGTCGGACGACTGACAACTGTCATTGTAGGACCGTCCGTCTGAGTACATTCTGGTCTAATTGAAGAGGGGATTACGATGACTTCATGATTTCATCGATTATGAGTGGGGAATGGAAGAACGTAAGGTTATAACAAGGACAAAATGACATTCGATGTAGAAAGTTTTTAAGTGACAGGTTGCAGATTGGAAGTTATAGTCCCGATGCTAATAGAAACCGAAAAGTAACATCGTCGTATAGTGCGAGCGGTGTGGATATTCGATGTTAACTGGTGTAAGGTATAACACGGGATGCCACCAGAGACTCGGGTTGGTTGAATGAGGATAGCCCTCTGTTTGGTGAGATGGAGTCAATGGTGGTCGGAATTGGATCCGTCGTGACAATGACAGAACTCAGGTTCAGCCTAGTCACAATAGTTGATGCCTCGCCTCTCTTGAAATTCCTAGAACTAGAAGCTATAGATGCAATAAACCGAACACGCGATTGTAGGAGGTTGCTTTCTTCTTGAATGTAAGCGATTTTAATGCCATTTCCTGCTTCATCTCCTCCTTCATCGTCTCTATTTGCTTTCGGACTTCTGTCATTATAGCTGAGCTTTGATCTTTCATGAGATAATTTTTCTTGCACGTTCCCACAAACAATGCCAAATTGTTTAAGCAATTTTTTGTAAATTCAAACAATCAAATAGATGAAAAAGATATATTGGGCTACTTAAAAATGTAGTTTACTATTAGAAAGAATTAAGAGAATTATATTGATTGACATATAAGAAATAAAAGTAATATAAATATCTTGATAGCAATTGAATATGTGTTTAAGTCTATATGTTTTGTTATATGAGATTACATTGTATGAGATTACATTGTTATATGTTTTGTTATATGAGATTACATTGTATATATAGAGTTAGAGATAAGCTTCCTAACTAATCTCGTGCTCCTCCTCTTATTCCATTCGTTTTCCACAAGAATAGGCCTCCAATAACCACTTCACTCTTATATATTCCAAACCAGTTTTCCGACGCGTGTTGCGCGTTTGGAATAATGTCCAACACTGTACCATTGACTATGTAAGTAATAGGATTGTGAGTCCAACAAAATCATCTAGTCTTCCAAATTAAGGGTCCTAAGGGTCCAAAATCATTCTAATCCTAAGGGTCAGACATCTTAGGACTAAGAACTCAGGAATTTGGGTGAAAAATGCTTAGATAGTCGTCTCTCCTAATTACATAAGATACTAAGATCCATTTTATTGACATTTGACCGTGATCGATAAAACCGACATCAAATCTATTCAATGCTAGATGAATTAAACTTGAGTCAATCTCTCTTATTTCACCCCAAGTGAAGAATATAAGCATGCACAAAATGAATTTTTGATGTGGTGTGAAACATAATTTGATAAAAATTCCCCTGACAGAGAAGATGACACATGTCACGCCCCGGACCTACCAGACACGTCAACAACCCGCCGTACAGTACGGATAGCCAACCGCAATCCAACTCATCCATACTATACTAGGCGTCTTGAATACCATTCACAGTAGTACATCCATAAACAATCATAATGTAAAATATTTAATTAAGCAGCGGAAACATCAATACAAGTGTTCAAGC